ATAAACTATATATATTCTTGATCAGCATCAACAGGCAAATCTTTCTAGGCATAAAAGAGAAAAACAATTTTTTTTAATTTTTTCCAAAAAGTTATAAGGGGTTACATCGTTAAAATTTAGAAAAACTGATAAAAATTTCAAAATTATTACATTTTAAATTGAATATGCAGATTTATTAACCTGTTCAAAACTAGCACAGAACAGGCTTCCGTATCAAAATTAATGCATTTTTGGCTTAGTTATAAGTTTTTTAAGCTCTGATTTGTACAAAAAAACTGCCTTAATAATATAGATAAATATTGACAAAAATGTTAAAATAAGGATATTATAGTTTCAGTCGGAAGCTTGAAACGCAGTGAAGGAGTCAATTCCGACCCTATAAACTATATATAATTTTGATCAGTATCAACAGTCGAATCTTTCTAGTATAAAAAAGAGAACAATTTTTTTTTGTCAAAAAATTATAAGGGGTTACATCGTTAAAATTTACAAAAATTGATAAAAATTTAAAATTTATTAAAGATTTGGCTTCCGTATCGAAATGAGTGCATTTTTGGCATTAAGGTAAATATTTAAAAGAAATGTATTAAAAATCCAATGAATATGAGGTTATTAAATCCATTATGCTGCGACCTGAACCTCTAATGAATCTACTCACGAAAAATTCCAACACATGGGGAAAGCTAAGAATTCTTCCCCGGCGGGCGAAGCTTTCGGAGTGACGGCTGTCTTACGGGGGGGCTGAGGCGGTGACAAAATTGTCTCCGCGTTTAACAAATTGGGTGACAGGCTTTGAAGTTGCCGTCGAGCGGCGACAAATGACAGGCATAACAAATGAACACTGTACGCTTTCCGCCGCCTCTTCTCTCCTGTTGCTCCGAGTTTTATTTTATTTTTCCATAGCTCCTTCCTCGTATTTTCCTGTGTCAGAACACAGAGTGAGAGGACTCGAAGCGGAATATGCCGAGGCACTTGGGAAAACAAAGGAGTCAGAGCCAAGAGGGTTCGAGTGGGAAGCGGAGAAGTGCGCGGGCCAGGAGCAGGAGCATCAAATGTCATAAAGTGGGAAATGCGCTATAAAACTGACACATTCAGGGCAGAGGCGGTTAACTTACTTACATAAAATTACGCCAGATGGGTGTGAACCCTACACTGCGAAAAACCAAACAGATTACATGGCAAGCGCCTAGAGATGTTAAGTACTCTTGAGTATGAAGTAGCTTTAGAAGGAAATCATCACCTCCACTTCAGGCTTTTCCTACATAAAATACTAAAAGAGTTATAAAAACAAGAATCTATGCAATACATTATTCACATTACCACAATCGTAAGACTTATAAGATTCCTTTAAATAGTGATGAATTTTTCCCCCAGTGCACGAGAGTTAAAGTGGGCGGAAGCGTCAAATTGTCTATGGCAGCGGCGGCACTCGCACTACCGAAAGAAAAATAAACCGGTCATCGATCTTGGACGATCTCGTCGACACGTGATTATGTGACCCACTTGAGTCCTGCGAACTCTCAAAGTGCGGATGCTGGGCGCTACATAAAACGGATCGACGCAACTGCAGTTAAGGATGAATTATTGGTGTAAGTGAATACCCGGATCACTTGAGAGGCAACACACCGCAACCGACCGACCGGGAGAGATGTCACCTGATCCCGCACGTTCGCACTTGCCTACCCGTAACCTCGTCCAGTTCCTTTACTAACTAGATGAAGATGTTGCCTGACCAATGCTAGGAGCCTTTCCAACCCCCGAAAATTCCCATGGTAGCGGACATGGACATGTGTTTCTGGTTTGCCGGGGTTTCAATTTCCCGACGCATCTCTGTTACGGACTATAAATTCTATATATTACGGCATTCCTTCCAGTTCTCCGGCATGGCATGCAATATGTTTTTGTTTGTTTACGCCAGCCGAATCCCTCTTTTCTGATGCAGCCAAGTATGCGAAACTATATCAAAATTAGACATTTTCGTTGAGTTCTTCCTATTGGGCATTCCGGATTGCTAATTAAAACATGAAAATATAATAAAACTTTGTTTTCAATATTGCATTGTTTTGAGTGTTTCATGAAAATGCAAATAAGATTTAACTTTACACTTGTGTTTATAATGGTTTTCAGGTATTTTGTGATGATTAAGTCGCTGCTTTTCTTTTAGATTCACATATTAACTAGGTTCAGCTCCTAAACTTTTCCCCCAGCTCGTTTTAACTAGAATTTGCAAATAAGAAATCCAAAAATATAGCATTCACTTTTTGCTGTCTCGAAAGACAAAACTCTGTTTGCGCTCTTCGATCTTCTCTTTTTTTGGGAGGTTCGGTTCCATTAACGTCTGTAGAAATCCTCGGCTATTTGGTGATGGCTTTTTTGTGAATTATCCAGCGGGTGCTAATTAAAAACCTTCTTCGGCCAAGGCAAGGAGCAAGGCGGCAATAAAGAGCAGCGGTGGCACGGCTTTGTGGTTGCCAACAATAATTAAAAGCAAATAAATAAACAGATTTGTTCAACGACTAATTGAAGCTCAAATAAATCAAAATCTAACTAATAGTGCGACGGGGACCACCCAGAGTGCCGCCGAGCTCCGCGTCCGTGCCTCCGGGAGTGCCCAAAAAGTTGAGTTGTAATCGAAGTGTTAATAGGCCAAACTGGTTTCGATGGGCCAGCAGCACCTTGGAGAAGTCGAAAAACCGACCAAAGGTTTGGCGTCACCCGTCACTCTCATCAGTCCCAGCGACAATCTGACGAAATCCTCTTCTGAAAGTTGCCCAGATTTGCCGACAGCCCCCGATCCGGAGGTGGGCATAAAGTTGGGGTGGCGGGAGGAGCGCGAGCTCCCGGGATAGTGGGAGATGGAGTTGGGGACGTCGACGGAGACAGAGTTGAAGATGCAAGCGGCAGCGAGTTTCCTTCATGCTCGTTGCACTTGAACGCTTCAACGGCATTCTGATTTGTGGCTGCGGCTGCTGTGCGGACCGCGAACCGGGATCCCAAGCCCATCTGATCTGATCCGATCCGGACCAGGACGTGGCAATATTTCACGTGAGGAGCACCTAACGAGTGAGGGCGCTGCTGTCGAATAGCCCGACTGCGAGATACCCAGGATATGTATATGCTTCTAGTTATTGCTTGAAATCCGATTATAGAACTTGATACGGAACATTGGCAATGTTTTTCATCAGTAGACTTTCATTTGATTGAAGCTGGTTTTTTATATTTATAGCATATCCACTAAATTTTTGGCATTATATTCAAACTAATCTATCATAGAGGACCCTCTATAGGAAGACAACCAACCACAAATTCATAAAACAAACAATGTACAGCGGGGGATAAGTGAAAGCTGGGTCTATGTTTGGGGATCCCCCTGATTGGCTTGGTAATTAGCTCGATCGACCCTGCCAGTTTCTCTGTCCCCTTTCTAAATCAAAGCCCGCCGCCGCAGCTCGCGGTACCTAGGGTTTTTCAAAATGGCTTCTCGGCCGTTTCCGCATCGCCTTGATGCCGCATTGATGCAGCAGCGCTGATAGACGCGCTTTAAATGCATAAAATTGCCGACTATAAATAACATTTAATGAAACACATTTTTCGATTCTCGATTCTACACGCATCCGCCTCCCGATCCCATTTTTTCCCTTCCAACTCCCAGCTCGTCAGCATATTGTTTTTGGCAAAGGCAAAGGCAAAGGACTGCAAAGCAGGGAAGGAGTAGCGTTTAGCCCGGCATCTTCTATGCTTCTTGAGTTATTATTGTAATTTGGCTGCGGGCAGCCGAGTGGAACGCCTTTGCCGTTGCAGTTACTCCGAAAGTTCCCTGTTCCCGGGGACGGAATAGGATGGCCCCGATCTCCGCCAGCGCAGTGGCATTTTCTGTTCATTTAAATTTTTCACAGTCTATGAAATATAATAAGTTTGCGACATGTGCGTCGCCAAACCACAATTAGCCTGGCCCGCAGGAACTTTAATTAAAACCCCAAGTTTTAGCTTCTGACTCTTTTTTGGAGAGAAGTACAATGTCTGTGTCCACCGCTCTGACAGAATATAGAACACAGATTGTAGTCGTAACTTCGATCAGTAGTTCCGCCTACGGGGAACTGCGATGAAATGGGAAGTGTGTTAACGGTAAACCTCGCACCACCCACAAAATGGCCACCATTTTATGCGTTTCGTTTCGCGCAAATCTCAGTGCTCAAATGGGCCGTAACGGTATAATGGCAAACCAACACAGCGCACAACAACGAAGAGACTGAAATTTTCCTGATCCTCTCCAATGGTGGGTGTGTGCTTATACAGTGCGTATTGGGAGTGTAATGCTCGGAGCAATACAGAGTTTATTGTTTATTTTGTGATTCCACTCAATTGTAATAGAAAAGATAAACGCGAATATTCCTCATGGTGCTTGCTTTAAAATCATCAACATAATAGTACATCTCAATACCACCAGGCGTTTTTAGTAACTTACGAATATACATAACATAATAACAGGAAACCACAAAATTGAGACGCACTGCCCTTGCGCGTCTGTGTGTGGAAATTACAAGTGAAAATTCATAAAGCAACGGATGTTTTCTTAATTTTTAATGCTTTAGTTTTATTTAAGTGTTTATGGAGAAATAACTAATGAAAAACGCCTTGAATTGCATGTGCACATATTTCGAGGCAGCCAATCCCCGCTACCCGTGCTCAGTTCTCGGATATTAATAAACAGCGGCAGCGTCCATGGGCCTGTGCTTGTGTTAAAGCGCAACATGATTCGCTCGATTTAAAATGCATTTCCATGCCAATGGCAACGCGCCGAGTTGCCGCCCTTTGATTTATAAAACAGGCCCGTTGCCTTAGCCGGTTCCTCACTTTCAGTCTCTCTCTGCAACATCCCAGATTCTCTGCTCCATGCCGCCGGTTGTTTTCTTAATGTCAATGCAATTAGGGGAAAAAATACTTTTGGGCAAATATCTCACAGCCAGCGACCATGCAATAAAAGAAATAAGAAGACTCTGTACTGTACAGCCAGGTTCTTATATTTCCACGCTTTAAATGCTCTTGCGAATGTTCGGTTTACACATTAAATCAAATTTCAGCTATGCTAACACAAAACATCAAGCCGGGTTGTGGATGGTGTAGGTGTTCTATGTTGGCCAGGTTTCCAGGGGCAAAAGCTCTGCAAAATGAAGTTGGAATAGTTAGAATATGTTGTTAATTGGAATTTTGGATTAAAGTGTAGAAAGTGATTAAATACAAAATAACAGAAATTTCTTTCTTGCTATTGGTTTTAAGTAATATTCTTAAAATAAACTTGTTTATGCCTCTAACTAAAATATTTTTACATTTAACTTTCCAAGCATAATTTTAATTAGTTATAATGAACATTTTGCTCACCAGTCTCTGACTGCAATTAACTAATTTCTTAAAAATTAACAATAATTATATTTATATTTGTCCTAGTTTACTTACACAATAAAACATAGAAATATAAGGCGACGACTACACTGCAAAAACATATGTGGGACCGGGGGGCTAATCACGGATCTTGCTGGTTTTAGTGGCTTATCTTAGCTTAGGGATTTTGGGGGATTGCAGTCCTTAATCGTCCTTCTTGGGCACGCTGAGGTCGTAGAAGAGCTTGCCCATGCCGCCGATGCCTACCAAAGCGAGCGCCATGGTGATGCGGTACAGCACCTGGTCTACCGCGGACCCCTTGAGGAACACGGGCTTGCCGTCCTTCTTCTGGAAGTGCTCCTGCACCTTACGGATCTCAAAGTAACCCTTCTCAATCTGCTCCTTGGGCACGGCGGCGGAGCGGCGGCCGGCGGTAGTGGCGAAGCTGCGGACAACGGCCTGCAGAAAGGGCAAAATGTGTGGTTAGTTCATGGGCTCCAGCGAACCTTACGTAATTGCATGCGGGAAGTACGGTTGTTGCAGTCATGCCAGCAGTTTTGCAAGTGTTTTCCACAGCTTGGAGCACGCTTTAAATCAGACTTAAACTTACTCTCGACAAGTTCATCATCTTGCTGCGGTTTATTTTTAAAAATTAGCAAAGCGCAAGTAGTTTTTCTGGGCGAAAAATTGGTGCCTCGATTATGACAGCTGTTTGATGTCTTGGAGAATCAGTGCTGCCACATCGTCGGAAACACCCAGCCCTGATATGGTAAACGTGCTGCCAGATGGTCGTGAAAATTCAGCCCTGGTAATACTGGTTGGTTTTGAATAAAAATGCACTGGATAAACCAATAGTTATGCACTGAATAAACTAATTGCGTAAATAAACTACCTTGAGATTAATAAATTTATTATTTTTTAAGCTTTATATATTTTTATTTTTGCAAGGCTTGAATTACTCATTGAAATAGAATTTGGATGTAAGGCTTTCTATTAATCGGTACGCACTGTATTAGGACCAGTCATATTTTGTCGGGCTGCCAGACTTTTCCGACAAAATTTGTTCAATGTAAACAAAAATAAAGCAGCTGCAGAATTAATAATTAAATATTGACTCCATAGGTATAAATAAATACAACAGCAGCGATGGGCTTCCTCACAGTATTGAAAAAGATGCGACAGAAGGAGAAGGAGATGCGCATCTTGTTGTTGTGAGTACATATACATACATCTATGTTTATACAACTATGCTACAAAACAATATATGTATCCACTGAATCACTATTAGAGGCCTGGATAATGCCGGCAAGACGACGATCCTCAAGCGCTTCAACGGCGAACCCATAGACACAATTTCGCCCACACTGGGGTTTAATATAAAAACCCTGGAGCACAACGGGTATACTCTGAATATGTGGGATGTGGGTGGTCAGAAGTCCCTGCGATCGTACTGGAGGAACTACTTTGAGTGCACCGACGGTCTGGTGTGGGTGGTAGACAGTGCGGACCGCATGCGCCTAGAGTCCTGCGGTCAGGAGCTGCAGATCCTGTTGCAGGAAGAACGACTAGCGGGCGCCACCCTCTTGGTGCTGTGCAACAAACAGGACCTACCCGGCGCCCTCACCTCGAATGAAATTAAAGAGGTACAAATCGGTACATAGATAAATTAACAAATGTATTCACAACATTCTTTAAAGATACTACATCTGGAGGAGATCACCACGCACCACTGGCTGGTGGCCGGAGTTAGCGCTGTGACCGGTGAGAAGTTGCTTAGCTCCATGGACTGGCTGATCGATGACATAGCCAAACGAATATTCACATTGGATTAAATAAACTCCTCTACTTTTCCACTAAATACATTTTGTACAGCTTTTTCTCCTGTTCGCTGGCGAATTTCGGCTTGAAGTTCACCCTGTGAATGCTTTGGAATCCCTCATCTAAGACCGGCTCCTGGTACTTTTTCTTCATCGTGTTAAAGACCATATCACTGATCTTCGAATGGTTTGCGCCCGTCAACTCACGAAAAGCTATATTGTGTTTCACATGGGCTACGGAAAGATTCATCACCAGGCACCGACAGGGGACCTTCAGGCCGCTGGCTATTGACAGGAATTTCTTACGGGAGGCCGCATCCACGTTGGTGTTGTCGACCACACACGAATATCCGGACTCCAGGTATCCCTGGCAGGCACTGAGACACTTTTGGACGTTGCCTAGTGTGTCTGCATTGACGATTTTGTAGCCACGAGATTGGAAGAAGACATTGCAGACGTGACTTTTGCCAGAACCGGGCAAACCAACCATGATTATCATCTCATTGGGATGGCTCTCGAAGCTAATATCGTCGGGATCGAAGAGGCCTACCTGGTCCTGAACGCAGGTGGGGTCGAAGTCCGGCTTGTTCCACTGCTCCACTCGGCGGCCCAAGAAATGCACCTCCGGTGTGTAGAAGGATAGTCCAATGTTGGTGGCGAAGAGTCTGTCGGCCAGCGAGTGATCCTTGCGCTGCTTGGTGGGGCCCTTCCCCGTCTCAGGTCTGCCAGCCGCATCGCCCACGAAGAAGCTGCGGTCCTTCTGTATCTCCACTCCCTCGTTCATTTCTTCCTTCAGGTGCTCCCACATGCCGGGCAGCGGCTTACGGTAGTAGCCATCGCCAATGGCGATGAATACCTGGACGGGGACGCCTAATTTCGCCACTATCTGCTTGATCTTGACCTTGAAATCATCTAGCTTGACCTTCCCCTTGGCAATGCCTCCTTGGTTGGTGAAGAAACAAATCTTGAATCCCTCTTTGTGGAGACTCCTGAGTTTTTCCGAAACTTCAGGGAAGATAATCTGCCAATCTTCGGTATTCTTGGGAAAGACGTATCCCGATTTGGTTTTGATGATCGTGCCATCCATGTCGTAGCCGGCGACCTTTGAAGAGGCAGTCACACCAGCGCTGGTGAAAATTACCAACTTGCCGTTGGCTGCCGAGTCCCATCTTTCTATTTTGGCTGCAGTCGATGGCGTTGGTGATGACGAATGTAGATCCTCCTGGCCATCTGTTGGCGGGGGATTAAAGACCACCTCGAAGGGGTGCCGCCCGTACACTATTTCTATAAGGTCTCCGTGTTTTAACTCACACTCCGAGTGCTGCATGATCATCACTCCATTGACACCGCACGGATTCACTCCCATCACTTTCAAGTTGACGCCGCAAAGCTTCAGGTCCACCTGGAGCTGTAATTGACGTTTGGAACACTTGTTGTCCCTGATTCCAGTCACCCGGCTGCGCCCAACAAAGTTCTCGCCGGAGGATAGATGGATGGTCTGGTGCTCGGGTTCCACGGGTTTAAGAGTGCAGACCCGCGCTGCATCCTTGCCCACCCTTTCCAGGGAGCGGTTCAGGAATTTAGCCACTGACATGATGTAATTATCTTAAATTTATTGCATTAATTTGGTTTGTGTAATTTGTTTTATTTGTAAGAGGAAGAAAATTGTCATTCACCCAGAAAAAACATTCAAAATGGCGCGGTTTTCCTGGCGCAGTCTGACAACACCTTCATATCTAATATCCAATTGAAATATTATTTTTTTTTAACAAATCTGTATATAAACACAAAAATGTATGATGGATTTCTAAAGAGGAACATCTGTTTTGTAGCAGGCTTTATGTTATACGTACATAAATAATGTTTTGCTGGCTTTTCAGAAGCTCAAAACATATTATTTTTTGGTGTTAAAAAACCACACGTATACAGAAATGCAGAGAAATTGGCTGTCGTTGCGCGTAAGTAATATAGTTAAAATTAATTTATAAATAAATTAACTCTTACAAATAGCCGCTGCTTCGCGGTGTCGGCGCCGAGTTGGGGGTCTTTTACACTCGCCCCCACTTTATTCGACCCTCGGTGGCAGCTCTTATGCACGCCGCTGCAGCTCCGAAGAGGCAACCAGGCAAGATCACACCGAAAATGGAGAAGTTGAGAATGAAGTTCCAGGAGAACAACGATAAACCTATTTTCCTGAAGGGCGGCGTCATGGACAACATCATTTACAGACTGACGTGGGTGCTGTGTTTCCTTGGATTGGCCGGGGACTTACACTTATGGTTTGGCTATATCCTCGCTTAAAATCACAGCAATCAAACACATTGTTCTAGTTTAAGCCCCAGTATTGTTTATTGTTTGAGAATACGGCAATTCAATTAAAGGATCTCATGTGAGAATAAGCTAATATTACTAGGTGTATCTGTCTCTTGGTTTGAGGATGCATATTTCGAAATTTGATTATCAACTTAGGGAATATACCAATGGAAACAATAGTTTTAGTAGTGTAGCTGGTTTTTAATAGGCTATTTAACTGCTACATGATTACAGCCATTATCATTAGATACATAATATTTGCTTTGCCAAAAAAATTGCAAGATTTTAGATTACTCTTCAAAGTTTGGTGCTGCACTCTTGGTTTTCGAGTAATCCCTAACTGGCGAGTAAAACTTGTATTGCTTGTCCTTGTACTCCTGCCAGGGCTCGGGGTTTGAGGAGCGGTTCCAGGTCACATCCGGATTCCTAGTGGCCAGGCGAGCCATGTAGTACACTGCGCCAACAGCTCCGGCCGCAACGCACACGTACAGCGGAATCAAAGCCGGATTCTTCTTGATACTCTGAAGACCAAGACCCTGCATTTTTATTCTTTAAATGACCACAAATTTAACGCAGAAAATGTTAATTTTGCAATTATATAAACTTTAGTGATGCGTCAATACCACCGATAGTCACCATCCAATATCGATGTTTCCAAAATTGTTAAAATATCGATGCATCGATGTTTTCATCGATGTTTCTTCGTCCCTTACTGAAATTTTCCAGCGATATGGCAATACTTGATAAAAAATTCTTTGTGCCACGATCGACGCGCGTGCTTTTTGATCAGAAATTAAAAATAAGTTTATTTTAAAGCGGGAAATCGTGCCAGATTTTCGCCCTTTATCTTAGGAAAACAAATACAATTGAAAATTTATAAAATTACGCTGTAGATCAGTGATTTTCTCAGTTAAAAGTATAATACGCAATTTCTTGGAATAGTTCCGTTAGTCAGCCATTTTCATTCTCGATCTCCATTCATTTTTTGGCTGCCTTTGTGAAAAGTTAATTTTTAATGCCCGATTTCGGCGGAATGGCTAGAGTGTGCGTGTTATGCGGCAAATCGGCCGGATTGATGTGCCAGCGATGCTGGGAATCGTATTGCAGCGTCGTTTGCCAGACTGAGGATTGGCAGCGACACAAGGCTTTCTGTATCATTATGCCGTGAGTATACACATACATTCACACGTAAAATACCAGGCGCCTATCAACGGTGCTCACTCAACACACTTAAGAAGAAAAGACATCTTTACTTATTTCATGGAAACTGAGCGAAAAATTTATTTCCAGTCCCTTGGTGGCCTGCAGAGATATCCGGACACCGATGGCGAAGCAGCAGGCCGATGCTGTAACTCCTGCGATAGCTGAGACTAAACCCAATAAGACCCCTAATACGCCGGACGCTCCTGTGGTGGTGCCCGTTTTGCAGCCCAAGAACACGGAGGAACAACGCTCCACAAACTGGCGCCAGCACCAGCTGCCTGTCGGCGAGGAGTTTTTTGAGTGTCGTGTAACCTCTATGGAAAAGGAGGGTCCTTTTTGGGTGCTGCACTTAGATAATGTGGACAGCATGGAGCGAATGCACCACAGTATGCAGCGTCTTCTGCAGAATGGAAAGCTGACTCTAGCCGAGAACATTCAGCTGGACTCCCTGGTGATCATCACGGCTGACAGTAAAGTTCACCGGGGTCAGGTCCTAAGCGTCGACAGCGCGACCAAGGAGGCTGAAATTCGTCTGATTGACGTCGGATCAGTGCTCACAATTCCCCTTCGGGATATCTATGCCCCCGTTTCAAAGATGGCCGAGCGCAAGGCCTATGCCTTCCGCGTGAAACTGCCTACAAATACCGGCGTGCAAGTAAACAAAAACCTATCGCTTCGACTATTGGGGACTCGCACCCACGAGGGCATTTACCAGGTGCAACTAAAGCCCAAAATGACCATACCATTGGGCCTGCCCTTGGAGATGCTGCAGCTCAATCCAGAGGTCAAGGTGATTCGGATATTTGACTGCAATGCTGAGCAGGACAAAGTAAACCATGTGGCCCTGCTGCAGATCAACGTGTTGGATTACATCGACAAGGATTTGAATGATTGCCTGGCAGGCAAGCCGGGACAGCCCTTTTCCGGTCCCTTTCCGGAGGGGAAGACCACTTTCTATGTGGCCTCTCGCTCTTCAAACGGCAGCTTCCGGCGAGCCTTTCTGCTGGACCTAATTGAGAAGCCCACTCCCAAGTTCCTCGTCTATGAGATGGACCACGGCCGCGTCTCCATTACCAACGAATTGACTCGCATTCCCAGCGAGTTACTGGGCCTGCCCATACGAGTTTTTGCCGTTCAGCTGGACGACTATGTGCCCCAATCGCTTTTGCACGAGCACGCGGATCTTGCAGTCAAGTTCAATATGGACATCCTGCCGCGAAAGGAGACAACGCTGCGCAGCGCCGATGCCTCCTTGCTGTGCAAGGGTGAGCAGATTTGCGTGGCTCGCTTGAGTACATTCATGGGTCAGGTCTGCGACCTGGGACACAAGTACTGGCGCGAGCCCATCGCAGACGGCGCCTTCGTGTTCATCAGCCACGTCGAGAGCTATAAGGAAGTGTTCATCAGCTCCAAGCAAAGCAAACAGTACGTGGGAATCTTCAAGAGCCTGGCAGCAAAGTGCGAGGCCTTCGAGGACTCCAGCAAGGTACCAATTGGTTCAATCGTGCTGGTCGTTTCACCAAGCTTGGGTCATTTTCGTGGAGAGGTAAGCCGTCTGTGCATTTAATGGAATAAAAAAATTAAAACTGAACTTTTTTAGGTATCTAGTGTTGAAGACGGTCTTTTCGAGGTACAAAACGTCGATACGGGCGCCAGCCACAAACTAAAGCTATCAGAGCTTCGCAAGTCTTGCCGATTCCTAGAAAATCTGCCTGTGAGCCTTATGCGCATCCAGCTAAATACTATCTGCACTATTCAGGAGGTAGCTGTACCGGCAAATAACTCAGCCACCCCCATGCTGGAGGTTCTTTGCGCTCAGAAGGAGGAATTAAGTCTTCGGATGGTTGATAAGAACACCGCCACTGCGGATCTCTTGTTTAGCTCGGGTGAACAGCGCTCGTTAGCGAATCGAATGGTGCAGCTTATATTTTTGCCAATACCGGGAAGCCCAAATTCCGATGCGGCATCAACCTCGTCGGAACCGATTTTGCCTGATGTATCAGCAGCATTGCCTCCATCTCCGCCAAACTCACCTGACCAGGTGGAGGCCCAGCCTGTTAAACGTTTCTATTTCAAAGATCTGACCAAAAAGCTTGTCCCTTTGGGCGACAATGTCGACATCATGACACTAAGTACAGAGGAATTGCGAAACTCAGGCTACATCACCGCCCTCCACTTCGAGTCGGAGTCGGATGCCGAAAACTTTCAGAGTTCGTTGAACTTGGTGGCCAGTCATGGTGAATGCGCCCACAATGTGGTCGTCGACTATGTGCCTTGGTAAGAGTTACAAAGTAACAGAAGCAATCAATTAATGATCTTTATTCTGACGTCGTTCTTAATTTTTTAGCATTGGCGAAGTATGTGCAGCTTGCTATTCTGGGGACAATGTATGGTATCGCGGGGTTTGCCAAGAGATAAAGGACGGCTCAGCTTTAATATTCTACTACGACTTTGGCAATACGGAATACGTGGACTTTAAAGATCTAAAGCCGTTGAACAGCAATCTATTGCACGTCATCTACGCCACCAAGTGCTATATAGATGGTAAGTCCGTAAGCCTAAGCATAGCTTTAGCTTAAGCTCACTTCTTGATTACAGGGTTTGACAAAACTGAAAACCAAAATGATTTAGAGGTGTACCTCTCCCACCAACGCACTTTTTCTTGCTCTGTTATGGATGGTCCGGAGACCGATACGCGCCTCATAAGGATTCCACGTTTTTAGAATATTCTGAAACTATAAATCTAAACCAATTAGGACTTTAGCATTCTAAGGGCCTCGTAACTTAATTTTCTAGTTTAAAGCTTACAACGTTGAGTGTACTCCACAGAAAGTGAGTACTTTCGACAATTTGATGAAAATCATATTTTTTGTTCTGTTAAAGCGTTCACTAAGACGATTCTTGTCGGTTCCAAGATCATGTTATTTTTTTTATTTCAATTTTTTTCAACAATCCACGGCAATTTAGTTCTTATACTAGATTGAGTCGATCAACGCCAGAAGTGCGAATACTTTTCTATTTTTTGTGATTTCAATAAACCTCTCTAATTACAACATTTGATTTAATAGAGATCGCTAATATAATCATTCTTCGACTCAGTCTGTTCACACACACAACAATTACAACATCTAATAAGTGTAGTACGACAACAATAACTGCATTCATTGATCTGCCAATTTTGCAAGCAGTTCCTCCACAACATCAACATTGCGAACGGCAATTATGCCACCAGCATTTCGCTTCCAATCCGGGTCTGAGTCTTCCATTAGATACGTCAATGGCAACGCCTTCTGCGCCGTCACACTTGCTGCGTAATCGAGAACTTGGCCGCCAAGGGCTCGGAGAATGGCCTGCGGAGCACACGTGTCCCATTTGAAGGTAGACCCTTTGCTTAGCAAGTAGACATCAACTTCGTGAGTGATCACCTTTAAGGCCTTGTGGCCCGCACCCGCAGAAAAGGCGAACTCATATCCGAGATCGAGAAACCGCTGCAGGATGTCGGACCGCTCCGAGCTGGAGAATATACCCAGCCGACGGTTCTCGTCGCGAGCTTCAAAGTTACAGTTGTGGGCTTGGACTGTCGGCAGACAGACGCCCCAGAACATCGAGGAGCTGTAGACGTTCTCCTCCAACTTTTCGCCAAACGGCTGGGCCACAACTCCCATTACAGGCACTCCGGTGTCGCGCTCGTAGACACCAATTAAGACTGTTACGCAGTCCAGGCCGGTGGATGTGATGCCAGGAAAGTCCGTGAACATAGTATCGCCGGAAATGTACTCCGCGGTGGCATCTAAAGCGAAGTTTAAGAATTAAGAAGCTAACTTTCTTAGTTAACTACAAAACAAACCCACCAATCGGATCGATCCAAATGCCAAGATTGGCGTAATCAAACTCCTTTGGCAGCTCAGGAATCTCGCCAAGCTTCTCGCTCTCGAAGGTAACAACTCGATGAACATCGCTTGCTAGTGCTCGAGCCGCTCCCTCATGGCCACTGAGCACAGCCTCTAGGCAGGCCGCAGTCTCCTCCTCACCGGCTCCCACGGCAATTGTCACGCTCTCCCCAGCTTGTTTGTGAAATTTGGCGACTCTTCGCCCAAGATGGTATCGTTCATGGCGGGAAAAAGGCCGCCCACCTCGTGCTTGATGGTCTCCTGAATGAGGACGTCGGCAAGGGTCTTAAAATCGTGGTCGAAGCGCGCATTAGCCTCCGCCCCGCTCTTCTCCTGGACTAACAAGGCCAGCAGCTCTTCGTTGGAGCGGCATGTCCTGGCAATGTTGGCCGCTTTCTCCGCGCAGTTTATTAGCACACGCAGCAGATTCGGCTCAGATCCCTCCTCCGCGCTCATCCTGGTCCTGGTTGCTGCTTCTAGGGTCTATTTTCGATCCATTCTTTTATGGTTTCCCCCTTTTTTTTTATTGTTGTTATTTTCGCAGTGTGACCATCGGACTTTCCTACCATATCGGCACGTGGTATTGGCGCTGCCAGATCTGACGGGGAAATTAAGCTCCGAACTAGGGTTGCCAGAAATCGGAAAACAGCTGTGCCGATTGTTTCCGCGGATCATTTCCCAGCACTCCTATTATTTAAATGTTTGGGCGGGACTTACAAAATGATACAAATGTGTTAATTATAAGGAATCGGAAATTTCGTTATCATTAATTATAAATATTGATTTCCGTAGCTCTAATTAATATTATAAAGTACCAACAACTTGAATAAGGCCTATTTAGAACCTTAATTAGGAATCAAGGCCTTTCAGTTCTAGTTTTTGGGAGTTCGGCCCTTTAGCTTTCACATCTTCATTGAATCAATTTTAATTGGCAATTAAATATTACCGCCCTTTTCGGAGAGCGCTGGAAATGAATCATGGCCATAAAGAAGGGGGCTCCGTCTTCGTTCCGATGGCTTTTTGCTCCAACTCTTGCTGCATAATTTGCACCCGATCTTATCAACGGCCACTGCTAATGATTCGCATTAATGATGCTGCGTACATGGTCCCTCACTCTGGGTTCCGTCTTGATCCTCCTGGATCCCCCTGCGGTGTTGCATCTCTTCAAATGAGAACATCAATCAGTTTGGTAGTCGCTTCTCTGCTCTCTGCGGCTGTGCAGCTCCTCTCTCTGTTCCCGGTCTCTACTGCTGAATTTGCATATAAATTGCTGCTAATGTCGCCCTATCAAAGTGACTGCATCAATGTGGCATTCCTGCCATGCCTGGGCCATTCCTTGTTCTCTGTTACCGGTTACCCGATTCGACTTCATACACTACCAAAAAAAAGTTATCTAAATTAATTGAGGCCTAAGTCATCTTTGATTCTCTATTTTAAGCTATTTATACTCTTCTGCTTAAAGTTGCCTAATTTACATATTCATATTATATCGTAATGTACATTTGTAGAATCCAAAATGTAACATTTAAATTTTTTAATTCAATTCTTTATAAAGAATATTTTCAACATTCTTGATTTTACATTTTATAATAAGTTACAAATTAAAAAATGCGACCTACTTTTTCTCTAAGTGCTAACATCCCCTCCGCGTCCTCGATTTTGGCCCTTAGGCTTGGAGAAGCTCCTCTGCTCCTCTTGTTGGATTGTCCGTCTTTTAGCTTATGCTAATTTTTCCCAAGCCTCGCAGGCCCTGGCCCATTGATGTTTGGATAACGTTGGCTTGATGACTTTGCATAATTTACGTTGCAGCCACATTTCGGCTGCTTTCGGTTAATTTTTCACTCAACCACGTTTACCATTTTAATGTGTTAATATTCGTGGAGAAACAAGCGACCGGCCGACAACTAACAATCTTAACCGCCGCCGCCTGCCAGTTACTGGCGACGTTTCAATTTCATCGTTGCGTGATCTTTGGCCAAACGATTTTTCATAACAAAATAAAAATGTGCCCCCAGAACTGCTGGGCATTTATCAACAGCTCCGACGAAGACATTTGTCATTCCTGATTCCTGATTCCAAGGCGCATGTCCTGGTTCCCTTCGGATGAAGAGCAACTTCGACAAAATATAGAAAACAAATTTTCGATTTACCAGTATTATAAATATTTTATACAGTTCGCTAGTTAATACTAAAGAACAAATATTTTCTGATCAACTTTAATTAATTTATTAATTTCAACTGAAAAGTCAAGTTAGATTCCCTTTTACGCGTAATAAGCTAATCTTTCCAAGTGTATACCCCAAGAGCTTTCAGGGATTTTGTATTTAAATTTGACAACAAACCCAAAGTATTTTCTTTGTGTTTAGACTATTTTAGTAGACATTCGACGACTTTTGCCTTTTCCCCTTTTAACATTTAAGAGTCTTTTAGTTAAATGGTCAAGCTAAAAAAATTCTTATAGAGTCTTTAATTAATCGCCAAAGCGAAATGATTGACCCTCTCGAAGCACACAGTAACATATTTTCATTATATTGAGACTTGATTTCGGGGATGGCTCCGAGCTCCGTGCTCCGCCTCCCTCTGGCTCCACCTCTGAGGTGTTGAAAACGGGTTTTGGACGATTCTCAATAATTAGTTAGGTCTTTGTGTTTTGCGTTGGCTTGATTACACCGGCTGTTTGTCAATGGACAAAAGACTAGATGCCACAAAAGTCCACAAATCTGGCCAAGTTATGCACTGGTGCTTCATTAGCTGGTCTAGTCTGCGGTTTTGCGATTACTTTCAAATATTTAACATATGTATGTGGCTCAAGAACAAACAATTGGAGGCTATCACTTAGAACTACCATGTGTTGATATAGGAAACGAATTATTTATCAAGATAGTAAGACCAAGAACAATTTGAACAAGAAAGGAAGCTAACTTCGGCACGCCGAAGTTTATATACCCTTGCAGATAGAACTTCTATGAATAAAAAACCATACAATACAAATTATATATCTTTATGTTAAAAAACAATCAAGTAATACCTGCTTTCATTTCATTCACCTATACATATTATATTTGCAATTTTACATTCACTGATTTGCCTTTTTCCTCCACATCAAACGATCGTTTGTATGGCACCTATATGATATAGTCGTCCGACTTTCATAAAATTTGACACAAAATTTAAGACTTATATAAAATGGCTATACCTCAAATTTGATGAAAATCAGCTGAAAACTAAAAAGGTTATAAATTTAATTGTATTAATTTCTCGATCGTTCCTATGGGAGCTATATGATATAGTAGTCCGATTTTCATAAAATGTTATGCAAAATTGTAGAGTATAGTAAAATGGCTATATCTCAAATTTGATCCAATTCTATTGAAAACTGAAAAAGTTAAAAATATTTTTGTAAAAATTTTCCGATCATTGCTATGTTAGCTATATGATATAGTCGTCCGATCCGGCCCGTTCCGACATATATACGAGTGAGAGTATATAGAAGGCTAACTACAAAGTTTCATTCAGATAGCTTCAAAACTGAGAGACTAGTTTGCGTAGAAACGGACAGACGGACAGACGGACAAACGGACAGAAGGACAGACGGACAGACGGACAGACGGACATGGCTAGATCGACTCGGCTGTTGATCCTGATCAAGAATATATATACTTTATATAGTCGGAGGTGCCTCCTTCACTGCGTTGCAAACTTCTGACTGAAATTATAATACCCTGCAAGGGTATAAAAATGGGGCAGTAAAAATTTGTATATTTACCTGAGCTTTAAATCATTATTATTATAGGGATTACAAACACAAATCAGATAACTATCATACATACTTAAGAATCAATCTATGAGTTTCCATCTAAACTAATATAGCAAATGATATTGAGTTAAACGACAACCTACGTCAGTGGTCAATTGGAACGGGGCGTATACTTGTTGTGGGCTTTCAATTGGCTCAATTGCCAGCACCCACTCATTCACCGCAGACTCTGCGCAGTCTCAGCCATCTTCGATTTGCCAGCAGCCGCCTGCAGCCAAAACTGGATTGGGTCCCCGAATCACTCTACACCCCCTAGTCCGCCGTAAGTCCCACGATCCGCGCAATTCCCGATTTTCCCAGCTGTCGCTGTGGCTAATTTATGCGCTTCAAGGTGTTTGCCTTTTGACGCTTATTGGCAAGCAACTCTTTCTCTCACTTCCTCGTTTTCCTTTAGCAACTGGTTGGCTTATGGGGAAATTTGCACTCATATTTGCATTGGCCAGTTAATTGTTTACATTGCGCCAAGCAAGCGAAGGGAGTGGCTCCAAGATGACCAATTATAGCATCACCCGCGGCCAAAAGTGGATCTATGCAAGAGCTGGTGCACTGGCATTAATCAGACAAATGGCCAATACGGAAATAACGGGTGAAAGCCAGTCTAAAATAATTTAAGGTATTCTTTGGACTGCGTATGTTGGATTGAATCGTTTTATTTAATTTTTTGGCTGTCTTTACAGAGAATACGCCTCAACTTGTATCCTTCTCCGTCACAGAAGCTGCCAAACTGTGTTCGATCTTCGAGCCGACTTTTGGCCGGCGATCCGAGAAAGAGCGGAAGCGTGAAGAACAAAAAGACATGGGCCAATAATGCAGATACAGATACCATAACAATAAGGAATACAAATAACAAATACTGGTACAAATCCGTTTTGCCATTGCTGCTCGGCCAGTCGTTCGGTCAGTGGGCTATAAATTTTATGCATTTTGCGCATAGTTTGCCATTTTGCCACTTTAACATTATTGTTATGATGATACGCGAGCCATGGTCCTCCACCTCGGAGATGGAGAAGGAAGGAAGCATGGGGCAGTAACAGGAACAGAATGAGAGAAACAGAAACATAAATGGACCCTGGGCCCAGTGAGAGATCGCTCCAGGCCCAAGACTCCTATGTCCCACCTCTCTTTCCAGGTCCGAGTGTTCAACTGCCTGGCCATAACGCATCCTGGCACTTTGCACTTTAACAAAATATTATTTGCATCAACTTCACTTTAAATAGGGGACTATTAGTATTAGTTTTGTTAGTATTATTATCGTTTCATATTATTTTTGGAAATACGATCGACAGGGTCTGGAGCTTCTAATTCATTTCTTTTTATATAACAAGTATTTGTTCACATTTAATTGTTTTTTTTTCTGAATTTTCCTTAAAAAGTAATTTCTTCGAGTGCTGCTGCTCCGTGCTGAGCTAAGCTGTTTGCTGATCTCCAATGCGATCTCGCAGCTTGTTTGGCTTTCCTCCGTATTTAAAACCATTTCATTTTCTGGGGGCCAAAGTGTGAATATAATTTAATGTGTACAAGTCGCAGTCTTCCCTGCCTTCGTCTGGATTTTCAATATCGCGCTTGTCCCTGCTCGCAGAGCGATTATTTATTGTGCTTGATTGGTTTTCAAGTGATCATAAAGTAAGTGATCGCTGGTTGCCCCGGCCAATTGTGGCGCTGTCCGTTGGCATTGAGTGGTCCTGGCCGTGGCGTTAATATGTAGATTTGGAGGCGTAGATTTATTACCCGCGGCAGGCAGTGGGAGTTGCTGGAATAACCAACTGGGCGGAGACGGCTTCATCTGCGCTGCGCCGCATCCTGCTTCTAGTCGCATTCCCTCTCCTTCTGCCACTTCGACTCCCACAACTGGTCCGCAACGTTTTAACATTTAATTGACATTGATGATTGCCCCACTGGACAACTCTGAGAACATGCGTTCCCAAGTAGCCAGTGCGCTGTGCCTGGCATATCAAACCCCGAACCAAAGCCGGGGCATTATTAATTTTCATATCGAAGCGGAGCGGAGCGGAGCTATTCGCATGTGTCAGCTGTGCTCGCCAATCAACAGAGACAGGGACATGGCCACGAAGAAGACGTTCGAAATTAATTCTGTGGCAGTTGCAGACAGGCCGTAGACAAGGCCACGGGTGTGCACAACAGCGGCCAGAATATTAGTGGTGCTAATAGGGTCCCCTACAAGTATGCGCATAGAATGCATGAACTATTGGGAGCTTCTAGGGCTTGCAAATAAATCAAAGTGACCAAAAATTGTGAAAGGGAAAGGTAGTCTTCAAGCAAGATGAATTTTAGATTTGAAAATTATCTGTCAGGGGATACCATAACTAATTATTGACAGAATTACAACTGACTTACAGGTCAGGGGGAACCTATTTCACGGGGTCATTCTCTCTCTCCGTTACTCTGAGCAAACGGATTGCGTTGCTAGACGCAATCATTCAAAGTTTCTCCCATTGGGCTCAAAGAGTTTAATGTGTGAAATCAACGCCACTCATTGGCGATGCCTGGCTCTAGGTATTTTTTGGGTTTTGTTTTCCGCTCAGCTTGGCTTTCTTCGCTGCTGCCGTTGTCTGTGTGTGTTTTGTTTTCGCTTCTTTAAATGAACGTTATTAAAGAGATGTTTATCGCTGAGTGATTTATTCATTAAAAAAACATTTATTAGCTAGAAACAAGGTGGTGTGTTCAAGTGTGCGTGCCAGCTCGCATTCACATCAACATCAACATCGCCATCAGCATTCACATTTATCCATATGGCCTGGCCCGGCCTGGCCCGCTTTTGGCCGCCTCATTTGCGGGACATTAAAATGCAAAAGCGTGTTTGTTCCTGGAAAAACTGCAAAGCCTCGCCTCCTCCTCTAAGCCCCTTTATCGGAATTGCGGGTGTGTGTGGTGTGGACTCAATAGCCAGCTGCTGCTGCTGAGGCGTGCGGCTTTGTTTTGTGAACTTCATACATTCGCATATTTCCACAATTTCCCTCAGCCTGTGTATTGCTCTATTGCTACGTGTGTGTGCGTGCGTTTTAATCACTTAATTAGAGAGGCTACTTAATTGACTCAGACTTGAGGCGAATTATGCAAACAATCGATGTACGAGCTTGCTGCGAGTGTTGCAGGAAATGGGCCTCGGGTGGCCGAGTTCGTGTCCTAAGTCTTTTGTTCAGCGGTGCCTGGCAAGTCCATTTTAAGAGGGGAAAACTATGCCCCAAGGGGGATTTGCTATAAAATTTAATATTTAAATAATAAAAACATACAAATGCCATTTATATTAACAACAAAAGTTATTTTAAACAAGAAAGGAAGCTATTGTCGGAATGCCGAATTTTATATACCCTTGCAGATTGCAATTGGATCTTTAAAAAGAGCTTCACAACTGAGAAACTAGTTTGCGTCGAAACGGACGGACATACATACTGTTCAGTTGATGCTGATCAGGAATATATAAATACATATCTTTATAAGGTCGGAAATGACTCCTTTACTGGACAAGGAAATAAAAAAATAACATAAACATAATGTAATTCAAATGTAGCGAAAAATAATACTAA